TGCTGGAGATTATTGAAGAGCATGCCCCTGGACTTGGACAGAAGAAATTCTTTGGAGGTGACAAAATTGGAATGGTGGACCTTGCCTTGGGTCTGGTTGCACACTGGATGGGAGCCATTGAAGAAGTCACCGGGGTTCAGATAATGGAAGCCGGCAAGTTCCCCCGCCTGGAAGCCTGGATGAAGAACTTCAAGGAAGATCCTGTAATCAAAGAAAACCTCCCCGAATTGAAGGATATGTTAGCAGCCCTGAAACGTCGGAGGGAGATCCATCTGGCATCCAAGTGATCATAATATCGTGGTGAACCTTACCATATCTTAATTTCAATCTAAGATCGTCTGTATGAAAATGTAGGTGTTTGGTATAAATAAAAAAATCTTATCTATCTTATATTAGCTCGTATAATTGCATAAATACTGTTTAACCAAATTATGAGTACTTAAACAACGAGGGCAAAAAAAAAAAAAAAAATCGTATCAATTATAAAGTTCTAAACGTGATTTTACAACAATAGAAAAATCAAATGTTACATTAATGCAATTTTTTTTATTTACTATACATTATGATGTTTTTAAATTAATTTTTATATATTTTTATTTTAATTTCTTTCAAATAATTTTAAAAGTGAACTCTATGTCGGTATAATATATTTTTAAACTCTTAACTTAGCTTACAAAGTTCATACTAAAGCAATATGATATATGCATCTAAATAAATATAAATTTTAGACAGATAGCGCAAGGAAACAAAAATTACCTTCATGATCTTAATCTCAGAGGGAGAGGGAAGCTTAGTCAGGCATTATAACAAGCATCTTGAGAACAATAATGAAAATGGATGGAAGTGGAACATCCTAGAGCAATAGAATTTAGATGCCATTCAGATGGTTTCAAATCTCTATTAGACTGTTTGGATATTTGAACTAAGTAGCGTAACAATGTGTTCGGATTATGAAATTTAGAGGGATAGAGAATTTTTTTTTTTTTTTAAAGAAAAAAAAATAATTTGAATTGCCCTTTTTAATTGAGGGGAAAGAGATGGAAGGAGATCAAGTCTCTTCCACTCTCTTTTAATTTATATTCTTTTAATTTGAAAGGATTATGATGGAAGCCGGAAAGTTCCCTCGCTTGGAAACCTGGATGAAGAACTTCAAGGAAGATCCTGTAATCAAAGAAAACCTCCCCGAATTCAAGGATATGTTACCAGCCATGAAAAGTCGGAGGGAGGCCTATCTGGCATCCAAGTGATCATAATATCGTGCTGAACCTTACTATATCTTAATTTCAATCTAAGATCGTCTGTATGAAAATGTAGGTGTTTGGTATGAATAAAAAAATCTTATATATATTTTATTAGCTCGTATGACTGTATAAACACTGTTTAACCGAATTATGAGTATTTAAAAAATATAGGCAAAAAACCAAAAAAATCGTATCAATTTTAAAGTTTTGAAAGCGATTTTACCACAATAGAAAAATCAAATGATACACTAATGCAATTTTTTTTTTTTGTATTTACTATATGTTATGATGTTTTTAAATTAATTTTTACATATTTCTATTCTAATTTCTTTCAAATAATTTTAAAAATGAACTCCATGCTGGCATAATATATTTTTAAATTCTTGACTTGACTTATAAGGATCATATTAAAGCAATATGATATATGCATCTAAATAAATATAAATTCTAGACACATAACGCAAGGAAACAAAAATTACTTTCATGATCTTAAACCCAGAGAGAGAGGGAAGTAGGGATGGCAACGGGTCCCCATGGGGGCGGGAACCCCTTCCTCATCCCCATCCTTGCTAATGACGGATACGAAGATCCCCATTAGGATTTTTGGTGGAGGTTCAAAAATAACCTCTGTCTTCATACCCGCGGGAAATGATAGATCCCCACGGGTATTCAAAGTCCCCATCAAATAAAACTGTAACTCGTTCCACTGCTTGTTAATCAAAATTAAGTTCAACATGAGTTTGCTTAGAGTCCACTGATTTTCACATTTATCAAATAAAACTAGTTTAAATAATCATATAAAGTAAAATTTTGAAACAAGACAAACAACAATAAATATACACAGCCAATATAAACATGCCAAGCAGGTCCAACAAGTCAACAATAAATTCATAAAGAAAAGAGGCATAAACTGTCATATAAGTCCAACAAATCCAGCAAAAGGTTCATAAAAAAAATGCATAAACTGCAGCTATCATTTGAAAAGTTCATAGAAAAAAAAATGCATAAACTGCTATCATACATGTCCAGCAATAAGGTCATTAAGAAAAAGGGCATAAAAGAGATGAGTTACCGGCGACTAGTTGAGAGATTGGAGAAGAGTTATCAAGTCGAGTGTGAGTGAGAGATTAGAGAAGATCAGCGTTGTAGTTGTTGCACAATGGGTAGTGATGGGCTTGAAAGGAATCACAGATGAGGATTGAGGAGTAGAAAAACAGTTACAGCATAGAGTCATACAGGAGATTGGAGAGGAGGAATCACAAATTTGAAATCGAAATCTTTGGATAGTCCTTTTAGGGTTACCAATGCAAATTGGGTTGGACAATTAGGTTTAGGAAGACTAGATTGACAAAAAAAAAAGGGCTGAA